AGTCTTTTTCTCTCTCCTATACAAATTGCGGGCGTATCAACATGTTGAACCGACCAAAGTGCCGTCCCTACCAAATTTAATATTAGTTGTTAATACAGAGTTCCTATTCATAAGCTGCTTTTTGTATGTAATTCAAATAAATAAATGCTCTCTTCCAACAGCTCTCAATAGGAAAAGCAAACGTTCGTTTACTCTGCTCTTTCCAGTGAGCTGTGCTACGCTTCTCGTGCTACATGACTTCATTACACGTTTTATCGTTCCATTCCGCACGCATCGCTCATATTTCTAGCTCTGTCGCACGCACACGCACAACTTTCGAAGCTCCCTCAAATATGTTTCGTTGTGTGCTTTGTTCTTCCACGAAACATCACAGGAAAGGACGCAGCGGGGACGGAAATGAAACCGTTACGACTGTTGTTCTTGCTGTCTGTTGCTAAGTCAGTCAATGATATGTACGGGGCTGAAAGAAATGGAACGAGAGAAACGGAGAGACACGAAATGAAACTGTACAATGAATGGGAAAGAGAAATAGGACGAGGAAATACAACAAAAGCGAAACTTACGTAAACACACATGAGGAGAGGTCTGCATGCATGCGTGTGTGTATTGTGAATAATATTTCTAGTTTTTGAAAACGAAGAAATCAAGTTTGTCCTCTATCGTATGATTCACTATGGGAACTGGAAAGAGAATTGGACTTTCAAATGCCCAGCCATTTTAAATTTGCATGAGTGAAACGGCAATCGTCGTGTGTCATGGGACTTTTTCCCATTCGCATTCGTCAAAAAATATAATTAAGATGAAATGACTAAGAGATGCTAAAGGCTGAAATAAAAACTGCAATTGCCGCTGGTGATGCAACTTTTTCCGTCGGAAAAATTATATAAATGAGTTTTTCTAAGCGTGTAGGAGGGTGGGTTCAGGTGAGCGTCCCTGGCGCTGCCCCTGCTCATTACCCGAGGCATTCGGCTGGAAACATTTGCTTAGCCGCCGAGCGGGAGGGAGAGGGACGAGCGGCCGGACAGCGTGTCATTCCAGTTAGAATGTGGCATGTTCACAATGAGTGTCTTCGGATTATATTTTATTATATGTAGATATGAGAAGAAAATATCAAGTAATTGCGTTCGCTGCCTTGAAACTCCAATGCCGACCACACAACCACAGTCGCGGGCAATACTAACAAAGCACTGAATAATACGTTTGCATTCAAAACTTTGACTTTGCTCGGATCGGAGTTTGTTTCTAACGCCTGCAACAGAAGATGACCTTGGGAGCCAAGAGCACAGGCACAGACAACAACTCTCAAGCAAACGTCTGTACAGATATGTATGTACATACATATGTATTGTATGCTATGTGGTCTAAGGAGACTTGTTACTTATTAGCAGAGGCATTCCCTCCGGCTGCTCCGCTCTACCGTTCTACGCCGCGAATGACGCCATCTTGCATTTGGTGGCAATCGAAGCTAGTTTTACATGCGATATTTGTACATACATATATGTTTATACGACTTTGACGTTGCCACTGAAGCATTGGCACATGTGGCTCCCGCTCCAGCGCCTCGTCACCCATATTGATGGTTTGAGAGCAGAGCCCCTCATCCTAATGGCTGTCGCATTTGATCTTTGGAAGAGCTGTAATTACGAATATACATAATCCTGCCGCTTCTTGCCACTTTTTGTTGTAGTTGCGGCTGCTTGGGCTCGCTTCTTGGCATTTAATAAGAAGTTAGCCTTGAAGGCAGCGAGTTTCGAATTTGGATTCAGCTTAAGTCTCGGATTCAGAACCCGAGCCCAGAGTCGGCGACGAGCCGCACTCCAAAGTCTCATTCTAGTGTTCTTCTAACTGTGTGAGTGTGTGATGAATGTTTGTTTTTGTTGGGAGAGAAACCTTCGGTTGGCTTTGTTTGACTCACACTCTTTTTGAGCTTTTTAGTTTTTTGTACAATACGAGTTGATCCATACTGGGATTAGCCAGAGACTCTATATAAGGAGGATTGCAGAGCGATCGCTCAATAAAAAACTTTTATATCTGTAAATAGAGCCAAACATATACTCATTTAATCTGTACTTTACAGTCCCGCGAATGGATATAATAGATCTAATTGCTGTCAGGGGATGTCACCACTATTCATGACTTTGCGTGGGAAGGTGTTTTGGGGAAATATACTAAATGTAAACAGCATTCTGTAAACAGCCCTGCTGCCCCTCAACCCAAATTGATTGGGTGGAGATGTTTGCTAATGCCTCATCATGTTGCAAATGTAACTGAAACCCCGGAGTCTATCGATCCACGCTAATTGCCATTAATCAGATGCCTCTGACAGAAGTGGGGGTTCTTTCCCGGTTCCCTCGCAGATGACTGTCAGCTGACAGCTCCATTCAATCGACCATTATCGTATGTGTGCACTTTTGACCGCACTGGCTGGTTTGTGCCGCAGTCCATTAGTTTAAAGATCTCTGGCTAAGCTAACCACGTTCCTCGACCGCACTGCTGCGAGTATGCCACATGGATTGCGACATGCCAAGCGGTTTCAATTTATCCCCAGCCCAGCAGAGCAGTGAGAAGGCGATTCAACAAAATTTAAAACAATTTAGCTTATGTCACGTCTGTCCAAAGGCTAGAACGTGGGGAGGGAGGGGCGGTTGGGGTTCTGGGGCCTGTAGCCTGAGGCCTGGGATAGGGTGGGGCTAGAAGCGAAGAGTTTCGAGCGCTTAGAACAAAGCGCCACAAATTGTATTGTGTCACGCTCGATCTGTGGCCATGTGAACGGGGATATATGTATATGTACAACACATATGTGCACTTAAATATATATGTACAAGGTACTTGTTCACAGGCATATAGATACAGATATGGCTGCTATATAGACATATGTACATGCTTAGTAGTTTGCTTCTTTTTAATTATAATTAACGCCGCTTTGTGAATTAACAAAGGCGAGGAAAAAGCAGCCAATGGATAGATAGATAGCCACCGAAAGAATGCCGACTCAGTGGATACACTATGGGAATGCCAGAACGCGAAGATCCAGCTGTTATCCTTATAGTTCCTGGTACTAAAGAGTGCTTCCTGGAAATATCTACTTAAACTCTTCCTTGATGGGAAGCCTATCTATCTATCTCTTATGCAAACTCTAACGAGGTTTCTGAACCATCATTTGATTTGATTTCTTGAAGCCTGCCCATTGAGATGCCATGATGTCCCTTGTGCTTTTCATTCGAATCGGAGATGAATAGCAAATACAATTGAGTGTGGACATCCTGAGCAAGTTGTCAGGAAGCAGGCCGAGTGGTGCTTTAATAATTAATCAGGCGCCGGGCGCCCCACGCTGACAATGATGGCAATGATGATGTCGAGATGCAGAGCCTGTCCATATCCCCGACCATCCAACTGGGCCATGACGTGCGGCAAACGCATCGGAGCCGAAAACCTCCGACCGGGGGCAGGAAGCGTGTGAAATCCCATTTGGCTAATGGCCAACGGCGTCAGCAGGAAAATCAACCTGTTTCACAGAGCTCCAACCAGCTCTGCTCCCTCTGGCCCGCTGCACCTTTCACCCGGCTGGAGGGTCGGGAGGAGAGGGGCCCATCGAAACTAGGAAAACTCGAATCCATTTTCCACAACGACACCCGAAAGTGGGGCACAAGCACAGAGCGCCATGGTGCTCGTCGGTGTGTGTCTGTGTTGAGTGGTAAAACGGGTTTTTTCGGTCGGGTTCTGCAACTGTTTTTGGCGACTCGGTGACACGATGGCCTCCTTTCCTCGCTTCCAGCTGGCACTCCTTGATTTTCCACTTGCTGTGGCTACCCCTCCTCGGACCCCCATGCAGGATCAGGTTCCACTCCAACAGAGAAAGACAGGAAGTGAGAACAGAAAATGTTCTCCTTGGCTTAGGGCTTCCACTGAAAAGCTTTCAGTTTCCCTTGGCTCGGCTCTCCTTACTGCGGGGGTTGCTTACCCCAACAACAGGGTGTGTCGGGGTCACCTTTGTTGCCTTACTGCTTGGGGGTGGTTCCCCTTCCCCCCACTGCTGTTGCTGCTTTTTTTTTTTTGGGGAGTTTGGGGATGGATGCGATGATATCAGCCTGGGCGCCATTTAGGGTAGATGTTTCCACTGGGAGAGGGAGGGTCGGTCGGCGCTGCAGAGGATGAACTTAAATGAGCTTCCAATTTAAAGTGCCACCCCTGCTCCATCCAGCTGCTTGCCAAAATGTAATCAAAACTTCTGTCATGGAAATCAATGCAAACTGAATGCCGAGGCACACTCTGATTGCTCATACGCAACGTGAGCCCAGAGTATAACTCAATTAAAAGCGATATATCCATCCGAGTTGCATGCATCAACATAAATCTGTGGCAAACCCTATGGAAATGGCCTGCCGGAGAAGAATGTTTCATGTGGCTCTGGCTTGACCCACATCGCGGAGCTGATTTGAAATTCGAATGCGGTGCCCCGAGTTCATCGGGAGTTCAACAAACTTCCCCTAAAGAAGAATACGGAATACAGAAATGTATGGGAATTTATGCTGAAAAGAAAAAAGGTATCAAGATTTAACTGGAAGACCAATACTGGCGAATACTTTGGCGAATACCAACCATTTATGCTGAACGATAAACGAATGCTACGAATACTACACTGATAGTTCAAGGAAACGAGTAAATATTTATAGGATAAAAGGATCACGAAAAGTAAAATCCATTTACTCGTTTAATTGTAAAGCAGAAAAAGGGACACTGACAAAAGCAATTACCACCATTCAATCGGTCACTGTTGTCTTAGCCCAATAATGATATACATATGTAATTGCTGGAGGCGTCTGGGGTCTGTCGCCCACTCAATTAAAGGCTCTATAAAGGGTAATCCTGTTATTAAACACAGGCCAGCTGGCCCGGTGTCGTCCTCTCAAAACAATAATTAAGCAATTAGCGTAACGTAACCAAATCGAAGGGTATAAAGGAGGGCTGCTCTGGCTGGACTTTGCATAGAGCCTAGAGTCATGTATCCGCGATTCCTAGACCGCAACTATCCGCTGGAGAAGCACCTGTTCTTCGTGACCAGGTATTCGTTTGGCCTCCTGGGTCTCAGATTCGGAGAGGCGAAGTCGCAGTCCTGGATCTCCTTGGCCTGGCTGGTGTTCAACTTTGTGAACCTGGCCCACTGCTGCCAGGCGGAGCTCGTCTTCGGCTGGCACTATCTGCGGATCAGTCCCGTGGACGCCATGGATGCCTTCTGTCCGCTGGCCTGCAGCCTGACGACCCTCTTCAAGCTGGGCTGGATGTGGTGGCGCCGTCAGGAAGTGTCCGCCCTGATGGAGCGCATCCGATTGCTTACCGAGGAGCAGGCTGGACGAGGCATTCGCCGATCAAATGTGGCGCGAAGGAGCTACTACCTCAAGGCCACTCGCTTTGGGATGCTCGTCTTCACCCTGGGCAGTATCACGACCTGTGCCTTCGTCCTGCGCTCCCTGTGGGAGATGTGGGCGCGGGGCCTGGCTGACTTTAAGTTTGATATGCCCTTCCGCATGCTGTGGGTACTCCCAACCCCACAGGGATTCGGAGTACTAATCCTTCAATCTGCGATTCCTTAGGTTCCCGGAATTCGCCCATCGGATGCCCTGGTTTCCGCTGTTCTATCTGTACTCCACCTGGAGCGGACAGGTGACCGTCTACGCCTTCGCCGGCACCGATGGCTTCTTCTTCGGTTTCACCCTCTATGTAGCCTTCCTACTGCGGGTCCTCCAATTGGACGTGAGCGATTCCCTCCAGTTGGTTAAAAGTGGGTATAATCGTACTACCAAAAATTTCCATAAACCACACTTGACGCCTCCCAGATCCCAGCCCCAGGGACTGCGATCTGTGCTGTCGGCGCCTGGCCAACATTGTCGATCGACATAATGAGATTGCGCTGATTGTCCGCCGCTTCTCAGGGATCATGGCGGCCCCGGCCTTTGTGCACTTTGTTTCGGCCAGCTTGGTGATAGCCACCAGTGTCATAGACATACTCCTGGTGAGCATACCCCACTCGTTTCTTTATGTATCTGTCGAACCGTAAGCGATCTTCTAGTACTCCGGCTACAATATCATCCGCTATGTGGTGTACACGTTCACGGTCTGCTCGGCCATTTTCCTCTACTGCTATGGCGGCACTGAGATTTCCACTGAGGTGAGTGGGCACCAATTTTAGCTGCGATTTCATCGATAATTCTTTGCAGAGCCTCTCCGTGGGCGAGGCGGCCTACGGCAGTGCCTGGTACGCTTGGGATCGGGAGACGCGTAGACGGGTCTACTTGATTATCCTACGTGCCCAGCGACCCATCACCGTTGGAGTGCCCTTCTTTACGCCTTGCCTGCCGGTCTTTACTGCGGTGGGTATTACGGTTTGCTGTTTGTTTCCTGTCTCATCTGTGCCCCAAACCTTTGCAGGTCATCAAATTTACGGGCTCCATTGTGGCGCTGGCCAAGACCATCTTGTAGCTGAATCAAAATTGTACCCATTTGGCAATAAAACGAATGCGAATTTGTTGGTTTCGTTTCGGTTTTAGATTGATTCCCAAAAGTATGCAACTCACAGAATTATTTAATACACATGTACATCTTTCTTGTGTGTGTTTGCGTGCATCTTGTGTGGCAAATAAGTCCCAAGTCAATCATATGGCAGAGGTCAGGGAAAAGGCAGCTTTCTGCTACTTCCACTACCACTACCACTTCCACTCTTGGGTAGGAAGGAGCTGCCGCAGATGCAGAGGTAAACTTTTATCCAAAGAAAGTTTCTCCGTCAATTTGCAGAAATGCTTCCCCATACACGAGTATTTATTATGGAACTAGAGAAGTCCTTGAAGGTGTAGCAAATCTATCGAAAAAGTGCAGAAAAAAAGGCAGAGAACTGTCAGTTACAAGGACTCTTTACGTAACCATCTCTGTGGTTATGAGATTGCGATTCAGACAAAGACGGAGAGTCGGACGAGGCACGTGAGTGGTTGTGGTCGTGATATTGGACCGCTCTATCGTCTTCAGGGAATTTCTTGGCCAGCCATAAATGATGACTTGATTTAGACGTTAGATTACTTTTGGTTCAGCTGATTAGATTTACGTTTCCAACTGGGCGATACGGCTCACAGCGGCCTGACCAATGTTGGTTTGCTTCTGGCCATCACGTTTAGTCGAATGCCAAATTCTGGCCTCCACACAAGTCCAAGAAAGTGCGGCTTTTAGGTAACTCGGATTAGCGGAATGGACAAACGATTGATTCTACTGCTTGTCGGTGTCGCTGTCTGGCTGAGCGGAAATGCCAGTGGCCAGAGAGGTAAGATTTGAGACGGGGTGTCCTTGGAAGAGCATACTCTGATCACAGGTCCAAAGGAGCAGCTATCAACCCATTCGGAGTGATAAGAACGTACTACTAATCCCCCTGATATGTCATTAGGATTTATTGTGCCCTCCACTAGGGAAATCGAAAATCAGCGATCCTATAGCTCCTTCCCTTTTTGTAGATCATCCACGAAAATGGGGCAGCGGTGAGCCGCATCCCATCAAATATGTGGAGGAGCAGAAGACCGCGTACTGGGTGGAGAAGGCCCAGGAAACCCTGCACGCCAAGCTGGCCGAGACGCAGGCGGCCCACACAAACGCGGCCAAGAATGTGATCATGTTCCTGGGCGACGGCATGTCCGTGCACACTGTGACCGCCACAAGGAACCTGCTCGGCGACAGTGCCGAAAAGGTCTACTTCGAGCAGTTCCCCTACACGGGCCTGTCCAAGACGTACTGCGTCAACCGTCAGGTGGCGGATTCGGCCTGCACTGCCACCGCCTATCTGGGCGGGGTCAAGGGCAACTACGGCACCATCGGCATCAATGCGAACGTAGCGCGCTACAGCTGCGACGGCGCCGCCATGGAGGAGAACCAGGTGGAGAGCATCGCCCAGTGGGCGCAGGAGGCGGGAAAGGATGCGGGCCTCGTGACCACGGCCAGGGTGACACACGCTTCTCCAGCGGGCGTCTATGCCCACATCGCTGACCGCAATTGGGAGAACGACTGGGAGGTGACGAACAGGCAGTGCAACACCGAGCAGACCCCGGACATAGCTCGTCAACTGGTGGAGGGGCAGGTGGGCAAGGCACTGAAGGTGATCCTCGGCGGCGGACGCCAGCAGTTCATCAACACCACGGTGAACGACGAGGAAGGCTATCCCGGCTACCGTACCGACGGACGGCACCTCATCAAGGACTGGCTGGCGGACAAGCAGGCGGCCAATGCCTCGGCCAACTATGTCTGGAGTCGGAAGGGTCTCAGCCTCGTGGATCTCGACAAGACCGAGTATCTGCTGGGTCTCTTTGCCACCTCTCATCTGCCCTATGACGGCGACCGGGCACGCAATCGCAGTCAGCTGGCGGATCCATCGCTGACCGAGCTGACGGAGGCGGCCATCCGGGTGCTGCAGCGCAACGAGAAGGGATTCTTTCTGTTCGTCGAGGGAGCCCGCATCGACATGGCCCACCACGACACCTATGCCAGGCGGTCCCTCGAGGACACGGCCGAGTTCGCGCGAGCTGTGCAGAAGGCGCGTGAGATGACCTCCGACGAGGATACTCTAATCGTGGTCACCGCGGATCACGCACATACCATGTCCATCAACGGGTATCCGGTGAGTGTTTGTCTCTTTGCAACAGAATTACGGGAGATTCGTCTAACACAATCCTCTTCTGTCTGTACCCCTGTATAGTATCGCGACCAGGAGATCTTCGGCCTGACCGATGACGATACCGACGATGATCTGCCCTATGCGATCCTTTCCTATGCCAATGGTCCCGGCTACAAGAGCGCCTTCAATCTGGCTGACGGCAGGGCTCGCCTCACCGAGAAGCTCACGGACAAAACGGACTTCCAGTTTCCCAGCATGGTGCCTCTCGATGCTGAGTCACACGGTGGCGACGACGTGGCAGTCTATGCCTCTGGTCCTTTTTCCCAGTTCTTTAGCGGCAACTACGAGCAGACCAATATTCCCGCTATGATGGCCCGGGCCGCAGGCATTGGACCGTATGGCAATATCCAGCCATAGGTGTTGCATCATATTCCTCTTCTGGGAAGAAATTCAATTAAAATGCAACAGAGTTAAATGAGTTTTTTAACTGGGATAGGTGGTGGGAGTGTCAAAGGGGAGTTCAGGATGGGTAATTCGATTCCTTCTAATCGAATGCCAATCGGCTGTTATGCTCCACATGCATCGAGCTACCCAGCAGAGCAATTTCCTGCTGAAGCTGAAGCTGTGGCTCTGTTTCTGGCTCTGGCTCTGGCTGGGGGTGCCACGTGAAAGCGAATTCAATTAACGGCAAACTGGCAGTCAACCTCAATCAGTCAATCACTTAGTCACCCAGTCACTCACTCACTCACTCAACGACAGAACCAATTGGTCAGGTGGGAAAACCAACCTGGAGGAGGTGTCTGCGTCTGTGCCTGACTAGTGGAAAACCCACCATCTGTGCATCTTTATTTCGTTATAAATCTAAGGAAATTTATGCTTGTCTATGCCAAAGGAACGAACCCCCATCCCAAACCCCCACACTCCAGTGTGCCACATTCGGATACATAAATGTGCTCCAGTTTTTGCTGTTGCCAAGCTAGTTACCATCGCATTTTGCCTGGTCCTTCGCCTCGCAGCTAGCCCCCCTTTTCGTTCCTGTGCGCTTCTCAAATGCAATTGGGTTGGAATAACAACAAGAACAGCAGCAGCGCGGCGCATCTTAAATTAGACATTTGTGCAGCCCCAGCGTGGCTTCACCCTAGAGCAGCCCGTGCCTGGATGATTGAATTATGCTTTCCATCAAGCGACATCAGCCAAGCAGCTTTGAAGATTCCCCATGCAGCGCTTAGCTAATGCTAATGTGTGCTGCGGTCGCCGACAGTAGGTACTCGTAAGGGAATACCTTGCAATACAACGATTATAGAGTGCTCTTCGGGCGGAAGAGAAAGTGTGCGTCGGGGTCACCAAAAGCAGACCATTCAGCATGGCATAATCTGGCAGCGACAGTGCTTGACCAATTCGTCTTATTTCCGATTTCACTTAGTGTCGCCAGGGGTTTTTTCTGTTTGGTTTAATTTCCGTTGCCTTTTTAATTTAACGAGATTCAGTTTAAATTTTCTGAGCCGAGAGCAGGCTGTTCCCGGCCCAAACTGGACATAATCAGAGGGTTTGGCTAGTGGAAGACTCACTGCAGCAGCAGAGTGGCAGCATTGGAGAAGCATTCGAGCTGTGTGAAAGCAGAAAGCCAAGAGCGCCCGATGACAAGACGGTTGGGTCGGTGTCGGTGCAGGCCTAGAAAACTAGGTCACAACTATATCTTTGTGTGTGTGTGTATGTGTAATGGTTCGGGTGGAAGTGCAACGGGGGGCTGGTGGGAAAAAAGAAGCGAAAGAAAAAGAAAACTAGTTGTGGTTGAGCGGAGCGTTGGGGTCTGGTTCTTGGTCTGCGCAAACTTTTCAAAAGCGACAAATCGAACAGGGAGGCTAAACGAAGAATTATGTACTATAGCACAACTCTTTTTTGAGCAGTGTATGTGTGTCCGTGGCCGTGTGTGTGTATCTGAGGGGCTACAAAAAGTCCGAGATGAAGCAGAAAAACCAAATATGCTCCAACTAATGGCGCTGCTGCTGACGCTGACTCAGCCGCAAAAAGAAGCTTTTAAATATACACGCACACGCTAGCCCACACACATGCAGCGGCAGCAGATACACACAGGCCGAACACGTGACTGTGTTGGACCGAGAGCTTTTTAACGAAACCCTGCTCTCTCTCTTTCGCGCGCGCGCGCACTTCTAAGCACGTTCAAATGGCCATGTACACGGCAGGCTGAGTCTTTGTAGCTGTAGCCTTGTAGCCTTGTAGCCAGGCCAGGCAGCAGGGGAATTTTTTCGCTGCGACGCTGGCTCAGCGTTGGCGTTTGCGTCAGCGTCTGCGCTGCGCTGCGCTTAAGTGTGCCACATTAATTTTTTTCGTGCCTCTGCCGTTGCCCCCCGTGCGCCCTTGCCGTTGTGGTTGCCAAGCGGTAACACAGCTACAAAAAACTCAACTCTTTGGTCATTTTTTATTTTTCACTTGGCTTTCTTCTCTTTTATCAGCCTTATGACAAATTCATGTGAATTGGCAGCCAAAACAAGACAAGGCGGGGGCAATAATGGGGAAAACGACTGCGATGACTGCAGCATTTCAATTAATGTTAAATTCGTGTCAAACACATACATACAACACAAAAGATAGCCTTCTGCAAAGGCATATACATATGTACATATTTACATACATACATATATAAACAGACACATTTTAGTTTTTCGCTCTCTGTGTAGCTGGCTCTCTCGCTCGTACACGGTCTGTGCATTTATCGACATTTCGTTGTGGCTCTGTTTACTTAACCCAAATGCTCCCCACCACCAACAGATGCCCCTCGAGCGATGACTTGTTCGTTGAGAAGGGGGTGTATGTATGTATACATATGGGGGGGCAGCTTATGTAAGCCTGCGGGTGCGGAAATGGACTACATATGTACAGGGCAAAGTGGGTGGAGAAGGGTCCCCGGACGCCCTTTTGCTCCTACAAATGAGCTTTTTTAAGTGGGGGGCCGCCAGCACCTCACCCATGCACACACACATACAGATGCAGATACACACACAAATGGTACCTCATTGGTAACGGTGAAAAGCTTAAGCATAGGGGAAGATTTCTCAAACGCATGATTGGATTTTTTATAATTTTGCAGTTTATACATTTTTATTCATTTATGTATATATACGTATATATATATATCAATGTATATATATTCTTAATTGATAATGTTACTTATTTCAATTTTAGTGGATTAGGATATCAATATTTCTTGTGTCGCAGTTTTGTTAATGAATATGTGTGTGTGCACAGCTAAATAAATACATACATACATCATATATGTACATCAGAATCGAATTCCGTAGCATGTTCATAATCATATCCGTTTTAGCCTATAGCTTGGGGCCACCTCCGCCTCCCGCCCTGATCCTCAACGAGTATGGTATGTCCTGCCATTATTATCAGCCTGGTTTGCTTTCCTTTAGATCAGATCCCCGTCCCGTCTCGAATGATGCTTCAATTCAGTTTAATTCAAAATACAATTTAACGTGCGTAAATACAATGAATGTTCTGGTTGCTATTTATGTGTATATATATATAATGTATGTATAATATAAACTAATAAAGTTGGGCTTTGCTCGCTGCTGCAGTGGGTGCGTGAGAGAGAGGGGCGACAGTACTGCTGCAATAACCTTCAAGATAGTCCTAACTGGCGCTGTTCACTATCTTCCACTGGCCCCATCCGCTCCAGTTGCACTCCGACGGCCACAATCAACACCGATTTGATTTACACATTACGTATTTATATTTAGAAATACAATTTTTATATATTTATATATAGATAATTGCTACGACTCATTGCCACACTCTCTACTGCATATCGTCCTCTGATCTCACACCATTATCTCTATCTCTACAAGGGATGACGATTACAGGGCTTACAATCTTAGGTTGGAGTTGGAGTCCAATGCATATTCCCATTTCAGTAAATAATTGTAAAAATATTAAAAAACAAGAACGTAGTGTAGTAGTATACAATGAATATAAGATCAGGCATTGATTGATTTTTGTGGCTTTGTCGGCACATTTTAAAAATTAAAGTACAGTAAACGATGAGAACTAACTGAAGAACCTCTTGTTTTAGGTTTAGGTTTAGATGTGACAAAACAATATATATCATAGAGTTAAGGGACTTGACTTGACTTGAGAATTTTACAATTATTCTTCCTCTACTTCGATTTATGTCTATCAGTATCCCGCCCGTTTGAGAGTGGGCGCCATAGGGTATATCATCTTTGTGTGGTTGTTCATGAATGAATTTGTATGTATACATATATAAAATGTTGTTGTTGCTACCGTCTCTTTATGGATTTTCCTCTGATTGTTCTTATTAAGTCTGTAGCAACAACCATCTACATATTTACATCGCATTTGTTAGTTTTTTCACATTTTCATTGTACGTTTTTGCAATTTTTTTGTTGAAAATATTTTTCATTTTTCTTTGCTTTTCTCGATTTTTTTCTCATTTTGTTTTTTCTTTTTTGATTACTTTACAACAGTTTTTTTTTTTTACATTTCTATTAAAAATTTATAACATTCTCTTACTTTTGTTTTTGTTTGTGAAGAGGTGCATTTAAAATGTTACAATCGTTTCCTCTTGCTCGAGTTTCGGGGTTTCGTTTCTTATCGACGACCACGGCAGTTAGGCCTGGCCTGCTGTTCTTATTGTTTCGGTTTCTGGTTCTGTTTTTGTGGCTTATGATGTTTTTCTGCGTAATTTGACTGTTTCCTTAAAAACGATGTACTAACAACTAAACAGAATAATAAATTGTAGAATTCAATTAACGGCTGCTTGCAGTGGGATGGGGCATGGGGCTGGGGGCTACTGCCTGCGTCTGCCTCTAAGGGCACAGACCTGCTGGCAGAAGCGGCGAACCGTAGCGTTTTCTCAGTTAATGTTGCCCACCTCCTGGCTCTCTCCATCGACGATGGCCATGTTCAGCTGCTGGGTGACGTTCGACTTGGCCAGGCAGGAGCGAGCCACAGATTCGAAGAGCCTGGAAAAAGAGAGATTCGATTCATGTTTAATTATCAAACCAACATATCCTCCAAGTACTATATCTTTTTTTGTAAAAAAAAAAAAAAAAAAGTAATAAACATAAATTGAAAAAAGGTAACATGCAAGGGCTTGGTGATCGTATGAATTAGTTTGTTTTTAGTCAGGAATCTTGCTACTTATTGATTGCAGAACCACACCTTTCAGGTGAAGAAATCCCTAAATGAGAAGCAAACATTCACAATAAAATCTGAAAACAGAATGGGCGAATAGAACAGAACATGAATAAGATGGGATGGGGGTGGAACTAAGATGTGGCATACGGCGTACGATAAATCTACACAAAGTACTAACAAAAGCTACAACAAATTAAAGCAGAGTGTTCCAACAACTTACTTGGTTATCTCCGGAGCACAGTGCACAAAATCGTGATCCCAGAACTTGTAGATGGGGTTCTTGATCAG